TGGGTGAAAAGTATGTGCAAGAAGAGTTTCTGGGTGAAGAGACTCTGGGTGAAAAGCATATGGGTGAAAAGTATGTGCAAGAAGAGTTTCTGGGTGAAGAGACTCTGGGGGAAAAGCATATGGGTGAAAAGTATGTGCAAGAAGAGTTTCTGGGTGAAGAGTCTATGGGTGAAAAGCATATGGGTGAAAAGTATGTGCAAGAAGAGTTTCTGGGTGAAGAGACTCTGGGTGAAAAGCATATGGGTGAAAAGTCTGTGCAAGAAGAGTTTCTGGGTGAAGAGACTCTGGGTGAAAAGCATATGGGTGAAAAGTATGTGCAAGAAGAGTTTCTGGGTGAAGAGACTCTGGGTGAAAAGCATATGGGTGAAAAGTATGTGCAAGAAGGGTTTCTGGGTGAAGAGACTCTGGGTGAAAAGCATATGGGTGAAAAGTATGTGCAAGAAGAGTTTCTGGGTGAAGAGACTCTGGGTGAAAAGCATATGGGTGAAAAGTATGTGCAAGAAGAGTTTCTGGGTGAAGAGTCTATGGGTGAAAAGCATATGGGTGAAGAGTCTGTGCAAGAAGGGTTTCTGGGTGAAGAGTCTCTGGGTGAAAAATATATGGGTGAACAGTATGTGCAAGAAGAGTTTCTGGGTGAAGAGTCTGTGCAAGAAGGGTTTCTGGGTGAAGAGTCTCTGGGTGAAAAATATATGGGTGAAAAGTATGTGCAAGAAGGGTTTCTGGGTGAAGAGTCTGTGCAAGAAGGGTTTCTAGGTGAAGAGTCTCTGGGTGAAAAATATATGGGTGAAGAGTCTGTGCAAGAAGGGTTTCTGGGTGAAGAGACTATGGGTGAAAAGCATATGGGTGAAAAGTATGTGCAAGAAGAGTTTCTGGGTGAAGAGTCTGTGCAAGAAGAGTTTCTGGGTGAAGAGACTATGGGTGAAAAATATATGGGTGAAAAGTATGTGCAAGAAGGGTTTCTGGGTGAAGAGTCTGTGCAAGAAGAGTTTCTGGGTGAAGAGACTATGGGTGAAAAATATATGGGTGAAAAGTATGTGCAAGAAGGGTTTCTGGGTGAAGAGTCTGTGCAAGAAGAGTTTCTGGGTGAAGAGACTATGGGTGAAAAATATATGGGTGAAAAGTATGTGCAAGAAGGGTTTCTGGGTGAAGAGTCTGTGCAAGAAGAGTTTCTGGGTGAAGAGACTATGGGTGAAAAATATATGGGTGAAAAGTATGTGCAAGAAGGGTTTCTGGGTGAAGAGTCTGTGCAGGAAGAGTTTCTGGGTGAAGAGACTATGGGTGAAAAATATTGGGGAACATAGGGATAGATGGGATGCCGGCTTTCGTTCCCCCCTTCTCAGGTTAATTTTTCGCAACCGGTGGCCTGTGGTGTCTCCAACCAGTGGCGTGTCTATTGTTGGCCCCCCTCTGCCTTGCAGGGCTCACATTGACATCATCGTGAGCTTCGTCCGCAGCACCTCGCAGGACAAGTACATGGTCACTTCAAGACCGCCGGGGACTCCGTTATGCTGCAGGAGTGGTGAAAGGGAACGAGTGGTGAAAGGGAACAAGTTGTGACAAGTTGACAAGTTGACAAGTTGTGATGGTCGGTTGGTTCTAAGAGACCAAGTTTTTTATTTTTTAAAGGTTTGTGATCTCCAAAGACCCAACAGAATAGCTCATTGTTTGTCTAGTTCTTTTTGACCCCTGGTTTGCTTTTTCACAGACCCAATGGCCTAATGAAGAATGAGGAGGTTGCCAGTTGGTAATTTTGTTTCCCCAAGCTTGCAATTCGTTGCTTCCGGGCATCTGCTTTGTTGAGCTTTGACAAGAGTTCGGACGCCACTGTGGATGGAGGAGATGTATGGAGAAAGCTTGGGCATCCTGAAGAACTACCGGGTGTTGAATGTGGCCATCACCCGAGCTAAGTATGGCCTCATTTGCGTCGGAAATGCAGATGTGCTGAGCAAAGGATCCAAAGATTTCAATGCCTTCATCCATAGCTTGAGAAGCTGCAGATGCATTCTGAGCCAGGCGGAATTCCTTGAATCTCTACGCACACGCCGAGTGGGTGACGTTGGAAGCAGAAGTGTAGAAGTTTGAACTTGGTTGAACCCTTCCAAATCTGATAAGGATAGGACCAGAACAAGCGGGTGGGTTGCTACGTGTGCTACGTGCCATATTTTTTCCAAAAGGGTTTGGACTCACACACCCAGATGTGTCGAAAGCCTCCAAAGTGTTTAAAGCTGCTTAGTGGCCTAATGGCTTTTGCCAAAGGCAAGGTGTTTAGCAGTTTAGCAGGTGAAGCCTTTGAGCTCAGCCGATGAAAGCCTACTTTGTTTTAGTGAAGAAAGACGTGTCCAGGTGACAAGACTTGATGTGATCCTGTTGAGAGCCATGTTTGGTGTGCATCATTCGGTAACGATTCGGTAACGATTGCAGCCAGTTGCTGAAGCTGCTACAGGTCGTACCTTGTTTCTGCATACATCTACGAGTGCCACCAGCTGAAGCTCTATGGCTCCAGCGAAGCAGATGTTGCAGACCTGGGTCCACATGCTGCAATTGGCAAGATGTAAATATTATCTAAAAGAATTGCCCTGGGGCGCAAGGATTCCATTTACCAAAGGGCCATTGAATTGTTTAGGGATTTTTCCCCAGTTTTGTCTTTTTCATCAACTCCTTCGCTCAATCATCGTTCTGCATGGCGATTCCGCACCGAAGCATCGGCGAATGGCTACGGAATATTGATGAAGACTTGGAGGTGTACCGTGGCGAGTTCGAAGAGCTCGGGTACAATCTTAAGTTCTTGATGGAAACAGCGACTCGTTTGCTTGTTGAGTCTGAAGTTGAATCTGTTCATTTGCCTGACAGAACACGTGACATGTGACAGAATTCATTTTCAGATATTTTTCTTGCTAGATGAGGACTGTGAAGATCTGGAGCAGGACCTGAAGGTGGGAAAGAAGATAAAGCACGTCCATCTTCGTTTCATCCTGAAAGAGCACGCGAAGCTAAAGATGCGGAAGATCTCGGAACCAGATGCGCGTGCAACTCCAGCAAGCACACCAGTGGCGCACGAGGTGACGCAGTTGATACCCTGCGCCAAAGATGTCATGACCTTCAAGCATCTTGGACAGCACAAGTGGCTCATCCTCATCCTCCTCATCATCATCCTCCTCCTCATCCCCATCCTCCTCCTCCTCCGGCATAGTTGTCGTCGCGGTGACAAGGCATTCTTGATCTAATTTGGTCTCAAAGCTTCACTTGTTTTTGGACTCTTTCTCTTTCTGCTCCTATCAGAGCTGTTTACGCCATTTATGCTGAAACATTGTGCATCGCGTGGCCCAACAGCCTGCACATCCTCCTGAGGCCAGATCCGGCAACAATCGGCACTGGGCATGTGGTGCTGATACCCATTTGGTGCCTGCGCTCGATCCAAGGGAAGATTCACGCAGAGATGACCTTTACCTCGGGAAAACACAAGGACGAACCCCGCAGTCGTGCTACCAATCGATGCTCTAAGATGCTGCTTTGGGCATACTATGAAATTGCATAGTTCACTTTTCATGAGTGGGTGAAATGTAAGGGTGAAGCTGTTCTGTCAAAGTATTTGCCTCGCAGGATGCATCCGTGTTGGAGCTCTATTATGATTTGTTGAGAGAAAGACAACGTCCAGAAGACGTCGAACCGCTGCAAGTGGTGGTAGACAAACGTGGACTGCATATTGTGCGAGGACATCGCCGCAGTGCTGCTTTGTGTATGCTTCAAGGCATGTGGCGATATCGAACCGTCCTGGCCCCGTGTCTTTTATACAAAGCAGACGACCCTGTGGTTGCCCATCAGTTCCTTGACATGGACACTGAAGTGGATGGTCTCGGGCTCCATTTGCATAGGAGACATTCTGAGGCTTATCACATGGGCAAACCTCTCTTCCGCACACCAGGGGAGTGGTGCGATTCAGCGGTGGAAGAATCCTGCAACAGCCAAGAAGTCCGCCCAATCCCCTTCAGCAGATCGGACTTGCAAAATTCTCGGAGAAGTGAAACTATGAATAGGACCAGCGCTGCAGCAAATGCCTCACACCCCGGGACTCAGGGACAAGATCTTATTGCAGGATGCCAGACAGGATCTCAGGAAGCTTTGATATGCCGGCCTTTTGAGCAAGGCCCAACAGCAACTGCAGCTGCCATTCAGCCCCAAGATATGGTAAAGAAAGGTCCTGTTACAGGACCTGGAGAGCTAAGAGAGGGCATGGTGGTTTGTGTGACGAAGCGCAAGGGTTCAAAGATGTGTGGTGAGGTCGTGGAAATCGCTCAGCATGATGAAGATGAGCCTGTGAAAGTGCGGTGCTGTGATACAAACAGGTCAGGGCAAATGAAGACAGCTTGGTTTCCCCTGCGCCAGTTACAAGTGCCTGACTTCTCCAAGATCTACCCAGGCCTGCAGGCATCTGGCCGCGATAATCTTGATTGTACAGTTGTACAGGTGTCGAAGGCTCAAAAAAGAGCCCACGCTCCTGTGCAAGTACATTACACAGGTTCGTCGGATTACGAAGAATGGCTGGGTGCAGAGATGTTTTGCAGCAAGTTGCTGATGTTCCATGACGCCGTGCTTCCTGCGAAGACCATGAAGGGTGCTGACTCTGACGTTCTTGAAGAACGCCAAACAACACCTGCCCTAAACACAAGGGACTCAAATGGATTTGAAGATAGACCCGTACCAGAATCGCAGGAGCTGGGCTGCGCAGAACCAAAGTTTGTGTGTTGCATGTGGCTGGAAGGCAAGTGCTGGAAAAAAGGCCCACATTTTCTTGGAAAGAGGCTCTACTTGCATGAGGATGTTCCTAGTTTGCCCTGTGGCTTTGGGAAAGATTGCCATTACAAACACTATGAGACACGGAAAGGTCCCGTTACAGGACCTGGAGAGCTAAGAGAGGGCATGGTGGTTTGTGTGACGAAGCGCAAGGGTTCAAAGATGTGTGGTGAGATCGTGGAAATCGCTCAGCATGATGAAGATGAGCCTGTGAAAGTGCGGTGCTGTGATACAAACAGGTCAGGGCAAATGAAGACAGCTTGGTTTCCCCTGCGCCAGTTACAAGTGCCTGACTTCTCCAAGATCTACCCAGGCCTGCAGGCATCTGGCCGCGATAATCTTGATTGTACAGTTGTACAGGTGTCGAAGGCTCAAAAAAGAGCCCACGCTCCTGTGCAAGTACATTACACAGGTTCGTCGGATTACGATGAATGGCTGGGTGCAGAGATGTTTTGCAGCAAGTTGCTGATGTTCCATGACGCCGTGCTTCCTGCGAAGACCATGAAGGGTGCTGACTCTGACGTTCTTGAAGAACGCCAAACAACACCTGCCCTAAACACAAGGGACTCAAATGGATTTGAAGATAGACCCGTACCAGAATCGCAGGAGCTGGGCTGCGCAGAACCAAAGTTTGTGTGTTGCATGTGGCTGGAAGGCAAGTGCTGGAAAAAAGGCCCACATTTTCTTGGAAAGAGGCTCTACTTGCATGAGGATGTTCCTAGTTTGCCCTGTGGCTTTGGGAAAAATTGCCATTACAAACACTATGAGACACGGAAAGGTCCTGTTACAGGACCTGGAGAGCTAAGAGAGGGCATGGTGGTTTGTGTGACGAAGCGCAAGGGTTCAAAGATGTGTGGTGAGATCGTGGAAATCGCTCAGCATGATGAAGATGAGCCTGTGAAAGTGCGGTGCTGTGATACAAACAGGTCAGGGCAAATGAAGACAGCTTGGTTTCCCCTGCGCCAGTTACAAGTGCCTGACTTCTCCAAGATCTACCCAGGCCTGCAGGCATCTGGCCGCGATAATCTTGATTGTACAGTTGTACAGGTGTCGAAGGCTCAAAAAAAAGCCCACGCCCCTGTGCAAGTACATTACACAGGTTCGTCGGATTACGATGAATGGCTGGGTGCAGAGATGTTTTGCAGCAAGTTGCTGATGTTCCATGACGCCGTGCTTCCTGCGAAGAGCATGAAGGGTGCTGACTCTGACGTTCTTGATCGAGAATGCTACACGGGATCCTGGAAAACATCGATGTCTCCGATTGTTGAGCAGAACCCGCGTGGTACGCCAGGTGCGGCAAGTAGTGCTCAGTCCTCCAGAGACGAAGTTCAGAGGGTGAGTGCGGCAGAGGATGTCGTAACAGCTGCCATAGCCGATCTCCCAGATGCTTTTCCCACCAACGCTTTGCCGTGGCATGAGCCTGACACGGAGGTTGATGCATTTGACCATGCCCTCCGGGCCACCAAAGAGGCCTTGGGCCGACAAGCGCAGGCAGAAGAGTGGCAATCAAAGCTTGAACAGACGCTCGCAGCAGTTGAAACTGAAGCTCTGAGTGAGGTTTTGGAAAAACATGGCTGGTTAGGCCTGGGGCTGACAAAGTTGGTGTTTGTGTCAAGCACATTCTAGAGGGTAAGAGGGGTGTCAGACTTTTCATGAAACGAGCAGTTGGAATCCTAGCTTTGAGTGTCCAAAGGAGTGCTTAAACCCTGAAGAGGTCAGCGGTTCACTCACTCACCAAAGTTGGAAGGGCTGCTGAAAGACTTGACCGGAGTCTCAGGCTTGCGTGAGGAAGACAGCGACAGTGACTCTGCTACTGACTTCCAGCATTCAATTCCACCATCCAACGACATGGAGTCATCCTGTTCTGCTGCACCCAACGACTTGGAGGATCGAATGGCGAGACAGTCTCTTGCTTGAAATGATGCAGGTGCATATTATAAGTTCAAACTTGGTGAGTAGTAGTAAGATCCTGAAGGTCCTAAAAGTGTGAAGGCGACACATGAAGCTGGCCGGCTGTCTGCTTTCGAATCCTTTTTCGCGGAACGGAAGAGCTAGGAGTATACCTAAGGCCAGCCACCTTGAACTCCTTGAAGGAGCTCCCGGGGCTGCTGGTCTTGGGAACCTTTCGATCCACCGGTGGCAAGGAGGCGTTCAAACGTGCCAGGGCTGCAACCGATTCTTTGTGGAGACCCCAAGCCTCCAAAACATTTGCCCTGCTCGAAATTGCAGCCCCCAAGCCTCCGAAACGCTGGCTTCCCCGCTTGCTTTCTTCTTCCATGTCTTGCTTGCTCTTGCCTCTTGCCTCCAAAACGCTGGCTTCTGCGCTTGCTTTCTTCTTCCATGTCTTGCTTCTTTCCATGTCTGCTTGCTCTTGGCTCTTGCCTCTTACCTTTTTCCGTTTTTTTTTAAAATCTTATTGCTCCATCTCTTGTCCCCGCTTCTCTGATGCGCTCCCCCTGCTGTTGGCAGGGGTCGGCGGATTTTCAGCCGTCTATGCTTCAAGATGACTATACCAGACTATGTCTAAGTAAGATGTATATTATGGACTTATTGACCTTTACTGCGTGACATTCTGAAGTTTCATCAACCCAGCTAATCTGCCGATCATGTGATTTTGATATCTAACAGCAACAGTGAAAATCACCTCAGCTAATCTGAGAGCCTGGCCGATCCTGATCCGCAATGTCAGGTTCTGGGGAGGTCATCGTGCATCGTGGGCCTGCAGCATTGCATGGCTGCAAGGTGATGATTTGGGGTGGCAAAAACCGTGGTAACAGTTGGGACTATGATAGATGCTATGTCAGGATCTTGCATGCCGCACCCTTAGCTGTACATTCTTTCTGCATGAATCTGGCAATGTCAGGAAACTTTGTAAAAACGCAGATCTAAGGCTCGAGCTGCGCAGAGTGCAAGTTCATTGGACGTAGAGAGGACCGAGCACACCAGCTTAGAGCAGGTTGCCTCATTTCTTTCAAGACCAGGCCTTGAAAGGTTGCTTGCGGCAGACAGGAACAGATTCATGCGCCTATGGCAAACGCCCTGCCGTTGTGGAATACAAGCAAACTAGTCCAGTCAAACATTCTGTAAACAACCCACAGCTTGCAGCCATTTTGAACAGAATGCTAATGTGAAGCATGAAAAGGGAATCCTGTTGGCCTACCCCTTTGAGTGCTCAATCAGCCAATTGCTCCGAACGCCTATGTACATGTGAAGCATGCGACAACATATACATATTATATATATATACATTATATATATATACGTCAAAATTCTAAGGGGCGGGAAGTCACTAGCATGGAATGCAAGGACCTTCAAGCCCCCACGACCTTGACGGGTTGAGGAAAAAAATCTACCCTGATACCAGGATGGAGCTCTTTGGGCGTATCGTTCGTGCCGATGCATTCGGAGTTCCCAGGCAGAAGCTCTTCGTTTGTGTGAAGCCGAAAGTGGTGCGCAATGAGAAGTGCGTGGCTTTGGCTGAATGAACGCAGTTTTATTTGCTTTTCCCAGGCCTGCACGCCAAGCTTCGGATGGACCTGTCAATACATGTACAGACAGCAACATTTGACCAAAATCCGCAGCACATTCATTGTTTGTGAGCGCATGGTGACAAGTCTCGGACTAAGGTAGCGTTCAAGCCTATCAATGGCAAACTTCCGGGCATCCAAGTACAGTGGCAGACAGCTTTGAATTTGCCAAGCAGCCATGATTTGCATGTCGCAGCTGGGATGCATTTGAGTGTAAAAGAAGTCATTACGTAGGAGCCGCCAGCGATTCATGGCACAAATTGCTTGAACCTCAAGATGTTTCCTACACCATAAATAGTTCAGAGTCCGGTTGGCACTTTGCAAATGACCTGAATGGTGATAGTTTTCAAGTGTGCCCACGCACCAGTCATCCAGAGGTAGAAGTGCGCGATTGGAGTGGCGATCGATGCCCGAGAGGACAGTACTTGGAAGAGCTGAAAATGAACTCCCGAAACTCAGACACGTCCATCTTGGAGGCAGTTCAGACCCTCAGCTAGGCTTTTCAGCAGGTGTTTTGCGCAAAAAACGAAAGGGTTTCAAGTCCACCAAAACACTTGACAGCATTGAACCTGCCTCAGTCTCCTCCTCAGATGCTGAGGATCTCCCTGAATTTCTGTGACTGGCCGCGTGGTGATCCCAGATGTGAGGTTGCGGTGGCGGACTTCCCTCAGCCTAGCAGGAGAAACCAAGGGCTCTTGTGCCAACCAGGGGGGCAATTTCAGTACAGGCTAAACACATGCCAAAGCTAAAACTGTGACCATCCATAACCACAAGTCATCCCAATTCATATCACTGACATTCACTGAGAGTTCAGGTGAAGATTTTGAAGCATTTTAGGCGGGAACCAAGGAAGGTTGTCTTCAGCTGTTGCTTTTGTGATTTTCTCAGGAGAAGGAACGCCCAAGACAGTGGTCTAACTGTGGGCATTCAGCATCCAGGTCTACCCATTGGCATGGTAATGTCATGTGGCCAAGATGAATTCCACGTGCACGTGCTGGATGTGAACGCATGCTGCCTTGGATTTGTATATCGTTTTGACTTGATTGGCCGTGACATGTTGATCTATTTGTATTTCTTCTAAGTGTATGTGTATCTATTTCTGGAATTTGGTGGGCTGAGGCCGCTTTGTTGAAACCGTCCCTTAAAACTTTATACGAATATCCCCCAGGCATACCTGGATGCTCTGGAAATGGAGAAGGTGGAAAACTTGGTGCGGCAACGGTCGGTGGGAGCATGGTTCCTGGATCATCTCGACAACCCCTTGGAGGCCAACTTGCCGCTCTTCCCGCCCAACATTGAGGCCGGGACATGCTGGGACCCATTTACATCATAGCCCCATGCCATCCAAGGTCCCCCCTATCAGGTGCCAGTTTTTTTTTCAATAATGCCGACTCTTCTGAGATCACTAGTTTCTCGCTGCAACATCCAATATCAGAGAAGAAAGGTTTTGAAGATACCTCAGATGGCATCAGATCAAGCGTGGGTTTGTCCAGTTGTGCGTGAACTGGCCAGGAAGAGATGACGTTCAAGGTTGGTCTGGAAAGGCCTGCCGTGACCTTCACATTTCAGGCCGATGGTGGAGTCTGGTCTGAGGGTCGATATTGAACTTTGGGCAATCATGAGGCATGAGCAATCTATTTTCAACCAAGCAGCGATCGTTCCCTGCTGACATAGGGAGATTTCTGCCCGTGGGCTGCGTGACTCAGGTGGTTCAAGGCAAGCTGGAAGTCTCTGCGGTGGGCGAAACCACTGTTTTGTGCCACCGCATCCTGACCCCACAAGAGGCCGCTGTGGGGAAAAGCTCATGGATGCAGACTTGACACGAAGCATTGACCGAGACATACAAATTGATTGATATTCATTTTGATGAAAACACAGTGAAGTTTCATCTTATGTCAGTAGATTCAGTTCAAAGCGGGCTTTTCAGCCGCAGCCAGCAACAGGCTGGAAAAATGATCCTCTCTGATGAGGGAGGTGATTTCGGAAAGGTGCTCCGAAGCCTACATTCCTATGTGCTAGAGTTTCGGAGAGCTGACGTTGCCAAAGGAAGTGGATCTGCCTTGGAACATTTGTTGGTGGCTTCTTGCTTGGACTGAGTAATTGACTACTTGATGTCTCTATCTTTGGAGCAGCATAGGCCGAGCTTTAGTTAGACTTGATTGGCTTCCCTTTTCAGAAGGCCAGAAATAATCGGAGAAGGTACCTACCTCTTACCTGTACATCAGTAATCAAGTTTGGTCCGCTCTGTGTGGTATCAACCATCCACAGGTATACTTTGGCGCTTCCTGAGGACTTGGAAGATGGCAAAGCACACCCGGCAGCTTTGGCCCAGAACAGGGAGGAAGGCGGGCGGGGATTGAATCTCACGCCAAAAAATACAGGCCTTGGAAACAGTTGGCCGGTTGTAGGATGTAGGATGACTGGGGTCAAGATGTTTCAGCTGGAATGGATTGAATCTCCTTCTCCCAGAAGCTTCTAACGTGTTCACGTGGCTATTGAGAACAAGCCAAGGCAATGTCAAAGCCACTGCGCACCTCCGATGTGCCGTCATCTGCTGGGACTCAGACGGAGGGCAGAGAGAGATGACATGCCTGACCTTTTTCTTGGCGACGGAATTCGGAACGCCCTCGGTGCCCTCAAATTTAAGCTGACTCATTGACGCAGAAACAGCATGCTATGATAGGTTATGATTCTTGTGCAGCGACCTGCGAGGCAAACAGCAGAGGCCAGATCTCGCCGGCTCCAGGGAACGAACACAGACTCACAAACATGAGCCATGATCCCACCGAAAGTCAGACAAGGTTCAGTGGAAAAACAGCCTGTTTTCTGCAGATTCTTAGAGCAAACGTAGCAATAACAAGTGGCATCGGAAAAGTCCCCTTCCCACGGGTGGCCAACCACCTTCCAGGTGATCGAAGACGAGACAAGGTGCCGCCAGAGGCTGGACGTAGCATGGTTGAATCATGCTTCCAAGGTCCGCAGCAGTGTAAGTTGCCTGGCAGGTAAGGAGCTTGCAGATGACCAAATGCTTTTTTGATGCCCGGGAGCCCCAGGACCTATGGTTAAAGCCTGGGGGCAAGTATGTAGCCAGGCTGGTCATTCGGTAGCTGCAATTCTTCCTGGTGGATCTTGCATGACGCTTTGAATGGAGTTATTCAATACCAAGGAAAACGATTTGGTCATCCAGCTATACGACACTCAGGCACACCCGCTAGAGAAGTTTATACTAGTTTATATAGAGTTTATCGAAGGAAGTTTAGAAGTCAAACTTCCGACAATATGAACAGATAGAAAAGCAGAGGTGGGAAGAGTCAGAGAAGAGCAAGGGGAAGAAGAAAGAAGATGCAGGTGTGCGACAAGGTAGAAAAGTCGCGAAACACTGTGTTTCCAATGTTGTGTGAGCCACCTGGCCAGATGAGAGATTAAAAATTGCACACCGTTGTGGCGCGAAGCACATTTCAAAGTCAAAATGCTAAACAACACATGTTCGGACCACTATTGGACGTTGAGATGTCGAAAAGGTGCATGCCGTTGTGGTGCGAAGCACATTTCGAAGTCAACATGTGAAATGTGCACCACATTCCAACCTTTTTCGCATGGTCAACCGCACCACACTACACTACATTACGAGTAAAACAACAACTGCTACAGCTACAACTACAACTAAAAACACAACAACACCTGCAGCTACAACTACCACTACACTACCACTACAACTACAACTACGATTGCAACTACAAACAACTACGACTACGACTACAACTACAACTACACACTACCTTACACTACAACTACCACTGCAGCTGCAACTACTGCTACAGCTACAACTACAGCCACAACAGCGGCAGCAACAACAACAACGACAACAACAACAACAACAACACCAACAACCACAGCTACAGCTACAACTACAACTACAAGTACCACAACATTACACTACACTACGCTACCACTACCAGTACCACCACAACTACACTACAACTGCAACTACATTTATAACTACACCACAACTGCAACGACAATTACAAGCACAAGTGCAACTACGACTACAACTGCAACAACAGCTACAACGGCAACTAGAATTGCAACTACAACTACAGCTACAACTACAGCTGTAACCACAGCTACAATGTACAACCACAGCTACAACTACAACTACAGCTTCAACTGCAGCTACAACTACAGCTACAACTACTACAGCTACAACTGCGGCTGCAACTGCTCCTACAGCTACACCTACTGCAAATGCTGCAGCTACTGCAATACTGCGACTACTGCAGCCACTGCAACTATTGCAACTACCACTGCTTCTGCAACTACTGCAACTACTGCAAGTACTGCAATTACTGCAACTAATGCAACTACGGCAACTACTTCAGTTGCTGCAACTACTGCAACTAGTGCAACTACTACAGCTTCAACAGCTTCAACAGCTACAGCAACCTCTACCACGACCACTGCCACTACCACTACAACTACACCTACTATCACTGCACTTACAACTACATGTACAACTACCACTACACAGCAACACAACTACAACTACAACCACAACTAAAATACAACTAGAACTACCATTACACTATATTGCGCTAAACTACACTGAGCTACACTACCAGTACCACTACACTATACTACACAACGCTTCACTACACTACACTACACTGCACTACACTACACTACACTACACGACGCGACGCGACAAGATACGACACTACACTACCACTACACTAACACAACCACTCCACTACAGCAACAGCTGCAGCAACAACTACCACTACACTACACTACCCTACGCTACGCTATGCTACACTACACTACGCTACACTGGACTACAATTACAACTACAACCACAACCACAACTACAAGTGCAGCTACACTACGCTACGGCTACAGCCACCCTATGCTACACAACACCACACTACATCCAGCAGTTGTGGGTGAGGTGGCCACTGCAATGCCAAAAAGCACAACTCCAACCACCTTTCAGTCCATGAGTCTGTTCGCTCTGCCATCCATTCATCACAGAAACTCACCTCTCCTTTAGTTTCCTATCTTTGAAACTTCTGCCACCGCCTTGTGCGGCACTACTGGCATAGTATGATTAAATTCGTTCACACGAACATACGCAAGAGCAAGAAGAAGATGATGGATTAGAGGAAGTGTAAACTGTTGAGCATGGGTTGGTCTCCGCAACTGGAGACCGAACCCTTCGGTTTTCATACTTTTCACCGGAAAATGGTGACGTTCCGGATGCAGCGGACACCATCCTTCCAATGGGTGTTTCCTGCAATGTGCAAATCTTTTGTCGGAGAACTCCTATTACTGCCAGGTGCTGGTGATAAAGGACTGACTTTGATGTGTCACCCACAACTCATCGGGAAGCGTCTATGATAGTTTTGGTACTCAGTGCAGGGCAGCTGGCGGAGATATCGTTTCGGTTTCCCATCTTAAAGTGAGTGCCGCCGCGGATTCAAATTGCATTGCTACAGGGATATATGGTCCAGGGGTTCGTCAACCGTGCATTTGTATCCCCAATAGTTGGGTGCCGTTTGAATATGACCATCCGTGTGATCCGCAGAGCAGGTTTGTGCTGCGTGAGCAGCTTCGGTCTTGGCAGGAGAAACAGACAGAGAAGGCGGGAGAGGAGCAAGATGCGTTTGCAGCCTGCAAAGTTCCAGGGTGTGGGTTCCGAGAGGGATTGTTTTATTTCATAGCCTGGTATGACTCATAAATTGGAAAACACCCCTCATCACACTCGGATAATTTGGACAGTTTGTTTGTTTTTTTGAAAAAACTTCGTTGTGACAAACTGTTTCAGTAGCATATTGTGTCAGTTTCTGCTGGGCATGAGTAACTGATGCAAACTACTTAAGTGAAGTCCAAAGGCCCAAACATTTTTGCCCCTAAGGTCCAAGACCAAGCATTTGGTGCAACTGGCAGGTTTTGCAGCCTTCAGAGAGAACACGTCATAGTCATAGTGTCGTAGAAGCCGTAACATTTTTACATGCAGAACTCGGCTCAGCTTTGGAAATTGAGCGAGCACTGGAAATGATGTCCAACCTCAATTCCTTAACTATTAGCAGCAGCTGAAGCAGCCGAACCATGACAGACCCATGAAGATACACCTGCTGCATAGATATGCATAGATCCATTTGACGGATCCTTGTGACATCGTGGTCCACAACACCATGTACACTTCCCACACGGAGATAAGGGGGTCAAACGCGTCACAGTAGGGAAGATGTCAATGTTTCAGCTCATTTCAGCTCATATTTTTCAATATTTGTTTATACAGGGAACACTGCCAAAACAGATTGCCAGAGGTTCTTGTCACCTCCCTTGCGTTGCCAGGTCTTGACTATGACGAGTGGCGGCTTTCGCACGGTGCAGACGATGGCTATTCTTAATGAGGCTGGGGCCATGTGGCTTTCTCCAATGCAAAGAGGAAGTAAGCCCAATCCAGATGAGTATCTGCGACTTTCTTTTGGATTCAGAACTTTGGATAGCTTGACCACCAACGTGTGAGTTTGAATGGCTTTGGAAAAATGCTACGAGCAAAAGCTTGTCCGCAACACAGCCGTCCAGATGCGCCAGGCCCTGAAGCCCTTGGCTTTGCAGGTGGAGTCTAGTGCAGGCTAAGTGGTGGGATGGAAAGCCATCAGCAAACAGGCAATTCTTGATTGTCATTTGAATTTTCTTGAAGTTTCTGGACCAGACCCTGTCGTGTTCAATAAAATTGGCGTTCAGCCGCTGACTACAGGTAAGCCCTGGCTCGGGACGTGGCAACTCCGCAGTGATTGCGAGGCACATGGAGATTTGTGGGGACATGGGACCATGGTGAGGGATGGATTTGATGAGAAGATGGTTTGACTGGTTGAATTGCGATCTCGTTATAGCTCCTAAAGGGTTCGCGACTTCAACGACCTCAAGTTGGAACTTGGATTTTTGGCTTTCAAAGCAAAGCAAAGCTGTGCCAGGAATGATACAATAGTTTGTCCATATAAAGCCTTGGGTGTCTACTCCTCACATACCCAGCCCTGCGATCTAAGAGGCTCCTACCTCGCTTGTGGCGGTAAGCCGTGCCAATCGCTTGTGGCAGTAAAAACGGCTCATTTTTTACTACCGCAAGTGATGAGTTTACTGCCGCAGGTGATGCTCGTTTTTGCGTGGCAGGTGCAGCATTTCAAGGCCTTATCGCTTGTGGCGGTACTCACGCGTTTCTGTTTTTAATCGCTTGTGGCGGTAAAAAAATATCGCTCGTGGCGGTATGTGGGTGTCCTTGGTTCTATGAGGAAGGAAGCGACAAGCTTTGATGCTTTTCACGCGACTTTGCGGCTGTTGTTGGAGGTACTGTACCATATAAGGCCATATTTTGTGGGGATATTCCCTTACATAGGCTTTACATAGGCCTTATATATGGTAGGTCCTGAGATGGTCAGTGACCCCACCCCACCCCCCAAGGTTGAAGTGGGATGGTAAGTTTCAGGAAGTGGAGTAGCGGTTGTGTCCCTATGAAGTTAAGCAACGGGTGTGGCTGGTAGATCCTACCCTTTTCTTCCCTAGCCCCACCCCACCCCCCAAGGTTGAAGTGGGATGGTAAGTCTCAGGAAGTGGGGTAGCGGTTGTGTCCCTATAATGAAGTTAAGCAACGGGTGTGGCTGGTAGATCCTACCCTTTTCTTCCCTAGCCCCACTCCACCGCCTTAGGTTGAAGTGGGATGGTAAGTCTCAGGAAGTGGGGTAGCGGTTGTGTCCCTATAATGAAGTTAAGCAGCGGGTGTGGCTGGTAGATCCTACCCTTTTCTTCCCTAGCCCCACCCCACCCCCCAAGGTTGAAGTGGGATGGCAAGTCTCAGGAAGTGGAGTAGCGGTTGTGTCCCTATAATGAAGTTAAGCAACGGGTGTGGCTGGTAGATCCTACCCTTTTCTTCCCTAGCCCCACCCCACCCCCGGTTGAAGTGGGATTGTAAGCTTCAGGAAGTGGAGTAGCGGTTGTGTCCCTATGAAGTTAAGCAACGGGTGTGGCTCCCTAGCCGCACCCCACCCCCAAGGTTGAAGTGGGATGGTAAGTCTCAGGAAGTGGAGTAGCGGTTGTGTCCCTATAATGAAGTTAAGCAACGGGTGTGGCTGGTAGATCCTACCCTTTTCTTCCCTAGCCCCACCCCACCCCCAAGGTTGAAGTGGGATGGTAAGTCGCAGGAAGTCGAGTAGCGGTTGTGTCCCTATAATGAAGTTAAGCAACGGGTGTGGCTGGTAGATCCTACCCTTTTCTTCCCTAGCCCCACCCCACCCCCAAGGTTGAAGTGTGATGGTAAGTCGCAGGAAGTCGAGTAGCGGTTGTGTCCCTATAATGAAGTTAAGCAACGGGTGTGGCTGGTAGATCCTACCCTTTTCTTCCCTAGCCCCACCCCACCCCCCAAGGTTGAAGTGGGATGGGATGAAGTCAAGCAACGGGTGTGGCTGGTAGATCCTACCCTTTTCTTCCCTAGCCCCACCCCACCCCCCACTTCAACAGGAAGTGGAGTAGCGGTTGTGTCCCTATGAAGTTAAGCAACGGGTGTGGCTGGTAGATCCTACCCTTTTCTTCCCTAGCCACACCCCATCCCCGAAGGTTGAAGTGGGATGGTAAGTCTCAGGAAGTGGAGTCCTCCCCTTTTCTTCCCTAGCCCCACCCCACCTCCCAAGATTGAAGTGGGATGGTAAGTCTCAGGAAGTGGAGTAGCGGTTGTGTCCCTATGAAGTTAAGCAACGGGTGTGGCTCTCTAGCCGCACCCCACCCCCAAGGTTGAAGTGGGATGGTAAGTCTCAGGAAGTGGAGTAGCGGTTGTGTCCCTATGAAGTTAAGCAACGGGTGTGGCTGGTAGATCCTACCCTTTTCTTCCCTAGCTCCACCCCACCCCCCAATGTTGAAGTGGGATGGTAAGTTTCAGGAAGTGGGGTAGCGGTTGTGTCCCTATAATGAAGTTAAGCAACGGGTGTGGCTGGTAGATCCTACCCTTTTCTTCCCTAGCCCCACTCCACCGCCTTAGGTTGAAGTGGGATGGTAAGTCTCAGAAGGTGGGGTAGCGGTTGTGTCCCTATAATGAAGTTAAGCAACGGGCGTGGCTGGTAGATCCTACCCTTTTCTTCCCTAGCCCCACCCCACCGCCCAAGGTTGAAGTGGGATGGTAAGTCTCGGGAAGTGGGGTAGCGGTTGTGTCCCTATGAAGTTAAGCAACGGGTGTGGCTGGTAGATCCTACCCTTTTCTTCCCTAGCCACACCCCATCCCCGAAGGTTGAAGTGGGATGGTAAGTCTCAGGAAGTGGGGTAGCGGTTGTGTCCCTATGAAGTTAAGCAACGGGTGTGGCTGGTAGATCCTACCCCTTTCTTCCCTAGCCCCACCCCGCCCCCGGTTGAAGTGGGATGGTAAGTCTCAGGAAGTGGAGTCCTCCCCTTTTCTTCCCTAGCCCCACCCCACCCCCCAAGGTTGAAGTGGGATGGTAAGTCTCAGGAAGTGGGGTAGCGGTTGTGTCCCTATAATGAAGTTAAGCACGGGTGGTGGGCTTGTAGATCCTACCCTTTTCTTCCGCTAGCCGCCCCACTCCTCCATCCACCCCGCCTTAGGTTGAAGTGTGATGGTAAGTCGAAGGAAGTGGAGTAGTGGTTGTGTCCCTATAATGAAGTTAAGCAACGGGTGCGGCTAGTAGATCCTACCCTTTCCTTTCCTTAGCCCCACCCCACCCCCCAAGGTTGAAGTGTGATGGTAAGTCGAAGGAAGTGGAGTAGCGGTTGTGTCCCTATAATGAGGTTAAGCAACGGGGGTGGCTGGTGATCCTACCGTTTCTTCCCTACCACACCCCATCCCCGCAGTTGAAGTGGGATGGGTAAGTCTCAGGAAGTGGGGGTAAGCGGTTGTGTCCCTATGAATTAAGCACCGGGTGTGGCTGGTATATCCTAACCCCTTTCTTCCCTAGCCCCACCACACCCCCCGGTTTGAACTGGGATGGAAGTCTCAGGAAGTGGAGCCTACCCTTTTCTTCCCTAGCCCCACCCCACCCCCAGATTGAAGTGGGATGGTAAGTCTCAGGAAGTGGAGTAGCGGTTGTGTCCCTATGAAGTTTAAGCACGTGTTGGTGGCTCTCTAGCCACACCCCATCCCCGAAGGTTGAAGGGGGATGGTAAGTCTCAGGAAGTGGAGTAGCGGTTGTGTCCCTATGAAGTTAAGCAACGGGTGTGGCTGGTAGATCCTACCCTTTTCTTCCCTAGCTCCACCCCACCCCCCAATGTTGAAGTGGGATGGTAAGTTTCAGGAAGTGGGGTAGCGGTTGTGTCCCTATGAAGTTAAGCAACGGGTGTGGCTGGTAGATCCTACCCTTTTCTTCCCTAGCCACACCCCATCCCGGAAGGTTGAAGTGGGATGGTAAGTCTCAGGAAGTGGAGTAGCGGTGAAGTTAAGCAACGGGTGTGGCTGGTAGATCCTACCCTTTATTTCCCTAGCCCCACCCCAACCCCCCAAGGTGTGTTGCTATCAAACTATTCTCATCTTCCTCTACGTCTAGGCTCCACTAATGTATTGTTTCACTGCCGCAAGTGATTGTTTTTTTACTGCCGCAAGTGATGGGTTACGCATCTGAGGCGACCGATGGCTTACCCTTCAGCGATGGCATGGAGGTTACTGTGCCGACCCTTGTGACCTTGGCGATGGTGAAAGAACACTTGGTCCGGGCCCCAAGCTGACGCCATCACAAATGCCGGCTCTGGCTTCTGGTTCAGCATGACGAGCCTGAATCATGTTCGATCCCGATAAGCCCTCAAGAAGAATATGGCTCCACAACGCCATCATACCCTGTTGACTGACATTGGTGCACCTCTCTACAGTAGATCCCCCACACAACACCGCCAGGACTTGCAACAGCGAGCAGCGGATAGCCAGGAGAAAGACCAGCTTCTAGGCCCACTCCTTGCAACGGAGCAGCGCTTGCAGGGCTGCATGTGCATGGTGGATCGCCATGTGGGAGCAACTTTGACCACCGATGCCTGGAACCAATTCTTGGACAGCGAGGATAGCGAGGGAGCTGCCAAACTCACAGTGAGATACGCCCATGGTCGTGCTAATGCCAACACGCGGAAGGTCATTGAACGCCTGCTTTGCGTCAAGCCCTGTGACAGAGACAAGGAGATCCGATTAGCAGATACTTGGCGCAATATGAGTTCTTGTCGCAATGAGGCTCTGAGCTGAGATGGTAGTGTACTCGACAAAATATTTTGCTCTTCTTTCAGGACGTGATGTGTGCCTTGAGAGAGATTTTGCAGCAACCTGGGCTTACAACCGCACAGAAGCATGCCTGCCAGTCTTCCTTCCTCCGGCGTTTGCGTGCGGCACTTCCGGCGGCTTACTACGAGGTTGTAGAAGTGTCGAGTGAAGATTCCAGGGACCCAGGCAATTGGTGGCATTGGGAGCCCCGATGTCACGCTGGAGGCTCAGGTCTCGACTTAAAAACTGATCAATCTATTTGTATTGTACATATAAATTCTCAAGAGTGAAGATGACTTGTGGCGGAAGCCATTCGATATTGGAGGCAACCTGAAATTTCAAGTGAGGACAACCCTGCATTCCAGTCACAAGAGTATTTCAAGGAAAAATCAGGCTTCATCTACTCTGAATGAATATCAGTAGCAGCAAAGGAAGTGCCAGCAACTGGTTGACAATTGACTTCGAGAAGTGTCATTGTTAGGCAAAGTTCTCTGTTGAGGAAGCAAATGTTGAACAAGGTCGGAATTTTGCACACTGATGTTTCGGTAAGAAGCACGAGACTGAGGTTACGTCTCCGTTGCATCGCTACATCGACATTTTGGGCATGAGAGCTTTGAAGTCTCAGCTTGGATGGACGGCTTCTCCTCACCTGCTGCTCTCCCGGAGGGAGTTGGAGGAGGCCGTCGCCCGGACCAACTGCCGGATGGCCGCGGAAAGCTTCGGGCAGCACATCTTTCGGACCATCTCGAGGATTCTCATCTGAATTGGCATTCTCCGTGCAGAAGAGATGTTTTTCTCGGGATAATGTCCTATGCTTGTGATCCTTAGGCCTTGAGGGCTGACATCTTTTTGACCAACTAAAAGGAACCAGAAAGTGTTGGGAAAACAGGATTTCACACAATTCCTGGCCTCCTGGCCCGGACCTATTTGCAAAAAGACTTTGGAAAACTTGCGTCTGCACACAATTGCCGACTGCCGACCTTTCTGGTAGCAAGAAACATCGGCAATCGGCAGAGAAGGGTCCAGAGTGCAAGACACAAGGTGTTTTTTTCTCAAATAAACATTAACAGATTTGATTTGGTTTATGTTCATGCGGGGTCTTCAGTAGTCGCCCCCCCGCTCATCAAGTACATGCATGCATTGCTGAGGCCTTTGTGGAAAGCAACCAAGACCCCTAGAAACCACCATCAGATTATACTGCTCATGTTAACTTGAAGAGCAACCAAACTCGCAGCAGAAAAACTGCAGTTGGCACTCAGGATGCGAGAGTTGTCCGGCAGTGGCCAGTTGATCCATGATGCAGTGATTGGAGAAGTTGGGCCTACGTACATCAACCTCTTGGTTCCATCCCACACAACCCACACTTGGGAGTCTAGGCTGCAATGTTCACTACTTGGGCATTGTATACTAATCACTTGTATTCACTTGTAAGGTATCACACCATTGAAGATGCTACATGTTGCGTATCACGAGGTTTCTACATCCCCATTAATCAGGGTTCATCCACTTTGGACTGCGGCGGCTTATAAATAGATATTCTTACTTGCTGTACTTACTAAGCCACCAGAACAACTGAGAGCCAGCGCTGGCTTGTAGGAGCTGAAAGTTCCAGTGAGCTCCTTGTGCAGTTCTGCCTGCGTATCGGACTACGATGCAGCCGACCGTTCCATAAAACTCACCATGCAGCGCAACAGGCGTGCGGGTTCTGTCAAGAGCGTGCTGGGCCACAGTGGACATTTTCCAGTATATTTCACATTATTTCACTGCTCCTTTTCAACACATATTGACATGGACCATTCTGAGTTTATTTTGGGGGCAGGAGAGACACGCTGCCAACATCATAGCCTGTGGAATAGTGCTGTCGGTTCTGCTTCACTGCTGGATGTTTTTGGCTTCCAAACTGTTTGCATGTCCTGGCAGGGATCAGGTGGAGACCTTGCGGATTCACTCATGGTCTGCCCCACAAATGACCTGTGTGATCGCTCGCAACTACGCCCAACCCATCGTGCACCATGCCAGCCCCAACTCCATTGTGGTTTGGGAAGTCAGGTTTCACAGAGAGAAGGACCATAAGCAGGAGCACCTGTGTCTGGTGCTTTTCTTGTAGATGCCAGACTTTCACAATGATACTGTGACTACGATGTGATCTTATTCACTAATTGAAGACACTCTACAGGTTGAAGGGCTGTTAAAGGACTTGATTTCTTCTTGACCAAGGGTCTATGCCTCCTTGATGTTTTATCTGATCCTCCCTATACCAAACACACAGTTTTTCCCGAGAGCGCCTGCGAAAGGTTCTTCGTAAAAAAGCAGCCGTTATACTACATCTTCACACCTTCACATCTGCTGATCTACATCTTCTGCTGATCTACATCTTCACACCTTCACACCTGCAGATCTAGATCTTCACACCTTCACACCTGCAGATCTAGATCTTCACACCTTCACACCTGCAGATCTAGATCTTCACACCTTCACACCTGCAGATCTAGATCTTCACACTTTCACACCTGCAGATCTAGATCTTCACACCTTCACACCTGCAGATCTAGATCTTCACACCCTCACATCTGCAGATCTAGATCTCCACACCCTCACATCTGCAGATCTAGATCTTCACACCCTCACATCTGCAGATCTAGATCTT